AGCTTCATGCAAACATCACTTTTTTACAAGAGACACCTTTTAAATAACAAAGCACACAATAAAATTAAGGCTAGATGGATAAATCAGGTTTATCATTCTACGTTTTCGGCAAAGGCTAGAGGTGTGGCTATAATCATTCGCAAAAATGTCCAATTTTTACACAAATCCACAATTGCAGACAAAGAGGGGAGATACAGATGTAGCACCTCATTTCGGACAGTTTGAAACGCGAGGGCCTTGATTGGTATGTGATCTGCCCTCACTCAAGGGAAAACCTCCAGCTTGACTTGAGACCGCCCCCGTGATAAATAAATGTAATTTATAATGAAGCCAGCTGCAATGGATCATTGATCCACCAGGGGGTGCAGTGGGGTTCCACACTGGAGCTCATGTCAAATAAAGTCAGATATACCGCTGGATGTACAGCGGAACTTTTTTAAGATCCATATGTCACGGATATCATACTCTTTGCTAAATAAGAGACACGTAATCATTTACAAAACATCACCATGTTGTTATTTAACAACATAATGTTGTTTAGTCGGAAAAAACCAACGGGAGGACATGCAGTCCGGCTCAAAAAATCAGAATCTTATAATATACAAACTATACATAGGCTATCAGCGGCCTATCTATGCCGGAAACCAGGGCGAGGTGTTTCTGGATCCATTTTTCGTGGGCTCCTCAGTCTCTCGTTTACCCAGTTCCTAATTTTATGCCACTGGTCCGTGGTCAGGCCTGGGAACCAATGGGAGACACTGGACTCAAGTGTCTGCCTCACATTGAGGGGAAGGGGCATTTTCCCTCAGGGCGACGCTGTCCCTTTTGAAAGCAGTCCTCGAAGAACATGTCCTCGCGATCCGAGGAAACTGCCCTGGTGGCGGTGGGCGCATCAGGTGTGGCCGACGGTCGTGGTGTTGCTGCCGACCCCGGAGTGACCGGAATTGGCACATCTGGCTGCAGAGGCTGTGGGTCTGCGTCTCCCACATGGAACCCAAACAGTCGCCTGGGTTGGTAGGCGCTCGTGTCCAGCTGCTGCAGTTCCAACCTCATGGCAGCCCGCTCCGACTCTGCAGTCTTCTGTGCCAATGTAATGGCAGCCCGCTCCGACTCTGCAGTCTTCTGTGCCAACGTAATGGCAGCCCGCTACCATATAATCAGTAAATAAGACCAAAATTAGAAAAGAGGGAAGGAGGGGAAGACAGGGTCTAAGGGAACCCGCGAGCCAATCCCTAGTCTGGGAGATGGAGTTGGGGATTGGAGCTCTCCCCACCATGGCTCTTCTAATTGGACCCTAGTTATGGTAGGTACGGAGTAGCTTGAAGATCGCCCTTGTGATTTTCTGGAAATCCGTGTATTCCTTTCGTCTGTCCATGTCTGCAATCACTAATCTAAAAAGACCACGAACTGTCAATCTACTAAGAGCCTCTACCAGAAAAAGAGGGTGGAGGTTAATCACCAATAAACAAATCCAATAGAAAGATGTTCCGGTGGAGCCGAATAAAAAGTTCCCTTCCACCATGGTTCCCTCAGTCGAAACCCAAAACAACTTTATCAAAAAAATGCCACCATGGGGAATAGTGGTCTCCCCACAACTCGGTAACTTGTAAAAAGACAAAACCCGACCATAAAAACAAAAGGATCCAAATTTATAAAATGTAAGAATTAATAAACAGGTAAAGATGTATATTAACCCGATCTAAATAAAAGAACCAAAACAATGTTGTTAAGGGGCTCTTACCAGTTTTTATTCCAAAGAGGAGCAGGAAATGGGAATCATGTTGAATATGTCTCAGCTTTAATTCTCTTTGAATACATTACAGATGTGTTCTTTACTCTGCTTGCTCTGCTCTTTTTGTTCAACGTGCGAAAGCTCACCTGGCTTCTGAAACCATCTGTGCTCACTTCCTGCGTGCTGAATTGAAAAAGCTAAAGATGATTTTCTCCTAGTGTTGTGGCTCTGAATTCTCCTGCAGATCATCGTATGAACGCCAAACGCCTCATTCGTCAAACCTCTGCTGGTTTTACTGCGATTAATAATCTGTGAGACTGTCCTTAGCAGTCTTGCACTAATGTACATTTCTCACAGATATTGAAGTGATTGTTATTTTGTATATATTGATTGTTGTGCTTTTATTTATGTCTTAATGTGTGCACATGTATAAATGTGTGTTGATTGTATATATATATATAAGTATATACATATTTGTATTTTGAATCCGGATTTTGGGATACGGTATTTCGATCTCTGTACACACAAACTGAAAGATTGAAAATAAAGTTGACTTTGACTAAAAATAATAATAGATGACATTTATTATAGCACCTTTCAAGGGACCCAAGGCCACTTTTCATGGTGTGAACAAACAAACTAGTTGGGCAAATAATAAAGTAAAGATTAAATAAATAGCAGAGGGACTTTGATGGGTTAGGGGTCAAAGGCCATGGTGAACAGGTGAGTTTTTAATAATAATAATACAACATGGCACTTTTCTCATAAACTCAGACGCTTTGACAGAGAATAAATGATGACTTGAAGATGTCCAGGGATAGTAATAGGCTAGCTAAACCCTAATAAATAGTCCTTACTGCGATTAAGAGTGGCAGCAATTCACAGTGAGTGCTCCCTTCAAATTCCCGAGCCCTGACAGAGAGATGCAAGTGCAACGATAAAAGAGTGGTTCACATGTGTGTGAGGGAGCAATCAGCTGGTTTGGCGGTGACTTCACACACGCTTGGCAGCCGGCGACATAATGACTTGTTGTTTTCCAAGAGCATCCACTCCGATTTCTGCCCCCTCGTTCAGCTTTAGACAGCGGATCCAAATTTGTCTAAATGAGAGGCTATTAACATGTGTCACACCCAATTATGTTCAGCATCCTTGTCTCTAATTGCATTCTGCCCGGCAACACAATGCTGGGGAGATGTTTCCCTTCATCTGTGCAGACCACCCAGCTTGTTTGCACCACAGATTTGGCTTCTGACAGAAGACTGAGAACAGGATAATATGAGAGAACAATGTGTGTTGGTGACAGCATCCTGTCGCCTATAGATTACATTCATGTAGCACTAATTTGTTAGAGCAAGGGCATCCTATGAAGACTGAACTACTAAACATATCGGATAAATCTTTTTGTTACGTAACCGTGTTGAAATACAGACCAAAAACATAAGCTGATTAACAATATACAGACACTATATCAATACTTTTTCATATCCATTGTGTTATTCATTGGGTGCTTCCAGGTTATGAACTCAATCAGGATTACTTATATGATTAATGTCCTTTATTTAAAATGCAATTTGCCGTAAAACGGTTTGGGTTATCCTATTTTTTTGCTGACCTTTTGAAGAGTATCGACCACTTTTAGGCAAAACATTATCATACAAAATGAATTGTTGATGCAAAATAAGTACTTTGGATCTCTAAATGTTGCCCAAAGTGTAAACCAGAGTAGAAATCCACTTTACTTGCTGAAACGACAGAAACACAACGTAGGTATAAAAAACAGGTATAGCCTCAATGTCCTTTTTGAATGCAGGACTTTGACATTTGTCTACATAATGGTACTGCTACTTTGACTTATGTAAATTAAGTACTTTTCCACCTTTTAAGGGCGTCTTACCCTGCAGGAGTGGTGGTATCCTCTGTGGGTGGTGTGTACTCAAGCCACATCGACACCTGCGGTAGGGTTAGAGGGGTTTCCTCCTCTTCATCATTATCAGATATTACTATGACTTCTCGTATCGTAGCATCATTAGGTCCCTCCTAATCTCTTACGCTTCATCTGGAGGAAACAAACCCACCAGACTCAGGGACAGTTTTATCCCACAGGCCATAAGACCTGTCCATTTAATCCTTTCTACCAAACAGGACGTGATGACGACTATTGGCCCGTTCTACTTGAACAGACAGCACAGTAAAGTGGCGCTCCAAAACAGTGTCCTTGCCTGTCTGTGGACTCTATCAAACCAGGAGTCCTATAGGGGGGTTGCTGATCGTTTTAATATCACCAAATCCACTGTCTGCCTGCATCTCCATGAATTTTGTAGTCTTGTCACTACGTATTTGTCTCACCACATTTTCTGGCCCACAGGGCAAGCCCTACATAATTCTGAGTTAGGATTTCGTGCAGCAGGATTTCCCAACACTGTCTGTGCGGTAGATGGATGCCACATTCCTATTGTGAAACCACACTGTGAGAACCCAGTTGCATACATCAACAGAAAACAGTTTTATTCTGTTGTGCTTATTGGGTTCTGTGACAGTGAGCGGCGATTCTGTCATGTTAATGTGGGCCACCCTGGTAGCTGGCATGATGCACGGGCATTCCGGTTGTCTGCTGTTGGAAGGCTGCTTGATGAAGATCCCCAGTCCCTGGTGCCTGAGGGAATGCACATCATTGGGGACTCTGCCTACCCACTATTGCCTCAGCTTATGAGGCCATACAGGGACAATGGCCATTTAACTGCTCGGCAGCGTCGTTTCAATCAGAAATTAAATGTTGCACACGTGGTCATTGAGCATACCTTTGGCCTACTGAAAACGAAGTTCAGGAGGCTCAAATGTTTGTACATGAAAAACATTGCAAACATTAGCACAGCAGTCACTGCCTGTTGCATACTTCACAACATGTGCTTGGAGGAAGGGGAAGCAATTGAAGTTGATGAGCAGGTTGAAGCAGCAGATAACGGGCCACCGCATCCCCAGAACCAAGATGCAGTGTTGCACAGAAATCAGATTTGTGACCTTTTGTAAAAAGCTCACACACTCCCCCATACACAAATAACCACTGTCATATTCTTTGTGGAAGACATTTGTTCTTTATTTCCTTTCCTTTTATGCCCACAGTATTGAGTATGTAAGTCGCTCTGGATTAAAGAGCCGAACAAGTAATGTAATGTCAACCAAAATGATTGGGCAAGTAAAAAATACATGCATATATATGAAAACTAGATATGGTCATTTTCTGCACATGTCAATAGCAGTTGACTATATATACATATGTTCACATGTACTTGGCAAATAAATAATAATCATTGCATATAAACATTGTGAACACTTAGTGTATACAAATATTACAAGGCAATTGCCAGGGCTGATATAATAATTCAACTGCATAACGAGGAAAATAAATAAGTAATCTAAACAATATTACTTCCATAAACAAACTGAGGTGGTGTTCTTTATAAACAAATTAATTCATTCTGGGAATACCCAGTGTGGGGGAAATTATGGCATATTGGGCTTGTCCTGTAAAAGCTCAATAATGCGCTCTTGTTGGCTCCCAATGCACTTTAATTGGGTAATAACTTCTCCCATCGCTGTCAGCATTTTTGCTTCGAACCTCCTCCGATTTATCTCCTTCAGCCTTCTCCGGTGCTTCTGTTCTGGCCGCACCAGTGTCTCCAGTGCACTGGCCCTCCTCTCCGAATGGGCCTCATACAGGTCGTAGAAGAGGGACGGGAGACTCGAGACCGGATTGATCTCGGCTGAGTGGTGGGCAGGGTCATGGAGGAACCAGGCTGGCCCTCAGAGGCACACGGCAGTGTGGTGGGCAGGGTCATGGAGGGACCAGGCTGGCCCTCAGAGGCACACAGCAGTGTGGTGGATGGTTGTGAGGCAGTGGGAAATAGAGGGGTGGAAACAAGAGTGCCTGGTGGTGCGCTCCCAACACCGCACCTCCCAAACAGGTTGTCCATTATCTGTGGAATTGCAGAATTGTTAAAAAGGAAATGTTGCTTTTACCAACTAGCTGTGCAAGAACAAACCTCTTACCCCATAATATTCCCACGTTATGTTCCCCTCTCCTGTTGAGGTACAACGGTATGTGGTCAAAAGGTTGTTCAATTTTTTTCTGATTTTGTCTGAGGAGAAATTGTATCCCTCCTTGCTGAACTGCCGTTGTATCATTTTATAAAAACCGGGTTTAGAGCGATAGTACACGTGTTGGTGTGTTTTTGTCAGGTCCAAAAGCAGCAATATGGTGTTGTGTGTGAAATCTGTTAAGACAAAAGTGTTAGTAACTCAAACAAATAGCATTTGCTGTTTAGATCCTCATTTTAGTTACTGTACCTTGTGTTGCCTCAAGGTGTTCTGACCGGCTGGAGGGGGATGCCAGGTGAGGAGTGCCAGCTTGGGATGGAGCAGGCCTTTGAGGAGCAGGCCTTTGAGGAGCAGGCCTTTGAGGAGCAGGCCTAGCATCTGAAGACAGATCTAAAGGGACTGTGATTGAGAGAAAATTAAATATTTGTTTACAATAAACATGAATGTGTCATTTGTTTGATTTGCATTAAAAGACAATACCATTTTTGATTTACATGATAGATTACCTTGTGCATTTGTTGCAGCCCTTGCTTGCTGCATAAGTGCAGCTGCTAAACTGTTATCTGAAAAATCATTTACATCATTTAAAGTCATATCCAGATTGTTGGAATGCAATTTAGGTGTTTACTCACCATTTTGTAGTCTTTGGGAAATTTCTTGTGAGACTCTTACAGTGATGTCTCCCTGTTCGTCACGCAGTGTAAGCACCACAAATTCCATTTCACCCACTGTAGACAAAGGTGATCTCCATTGCTTTATATAGGTTTGTTAATTGAGTCATGATGATGAACCACACCAGTGACTGGGTTCCATAATTAGAAATGCTCCTCCCTCTTAATGTTTGCAAAACTGATAGGTGGACAGGCTACAAATGGTCAGTCCCTTCAGATCCGCACACATGAAGCTTAATGAGCATGAATTGAACACCGACCTGCTGCTGTGTTGTTAGATGTAAATATAATTCTTTAGCTGCCACTTTAAGCTTTATGATGTGTACAACATGAATGTAATTTGATTTAATCTTGCCATTTTAAATGATGTATTCAATAAATAAGGTTAAACCGGTTAAACCAAATCATTACAACATTACAATAGATTTTATTTTAATGATTTGGTTTAACTTTAAGAGAATTGCTAGAAATAACACCTCACTACAAATTAATGACTCAAGTGTCTGTTCATTTAAAAACAAATCAATACAAGGGGGGTTGAATCCTAAATGTAAAAGACAGAACCACTTATTAATTTTCAAAATTACTTCCGTCAGTGGTCTTGACCAGTTTGCATTTATAAAGAATGCACACATGTGTTTAATCGTTAATTTCAGATATACTAAGTAAATACATTTGTTCCTGCTCAAGATTAGATTCAACTTTATTGTTATTGCACAGATTACAGGTACTGAGACAACGAAATGCAGTTTAGCTTCTAACCAGGAGTGCAACAAGCAGTAAAGTAAAAAGTAATATACACAATCTACAGAATAAAAGATAGAATGAATTGAATGATGAATAAACAGTGAGGGGCATGAATACACTAGATACACACAGCAACCTGTGAGCAGTATGAACAGTGTGTATGAATATGCTAAGATATATAAAGTATAAAAACGGTAAGCAGTGCAAGTATAGTATAACATATATAGATATTAATTTCATGATGATAAACATTGTGGAACAATGATGAAAAATGTGAATGGAAGTGGCGACGTAAAACTGACACCAAACAACAACAAACTTTTGCCGAGCCAATTGGAGAGTTTCATCAGCAGCACGTGGTAAAAACCACCAATGAGCGCTCAGCTCGAGATACCAGCGAGTCGTTTCCCATCAAGCATTTCGCTTCCGCAGCCCGTGGAGAGGAACTGCGCCGCCTCGCCGCGCCTCGCTCTCAAGGCTGCGGGCGTCTTTGTCCCGCGAGATTTCAACGTCTCATGTGAGCGAGCCTCCAGAGCAAGTCGGACAAAATGACTAACCATCATGCAACGTACGAGCAAGACGTTGATCGAAATTTCGCAGGTCTGCGCAGGTCTCGCTTGTCTCAAACAAGCCTACTGTTGACTGTTGATAAACTAGTGCAACGTCACTTCTCAGCGACAGACCGTTCTCGCACATGCGCATTAGCATTGAGCTTTGTTATTTCATTTCACTATGGCGCTTAGCAAAACGTTTGGACAAAAACCTGTTAAATTTCAGCTCGAGGAGGATGGAGACTTTTATATGATCGGATCGGAGGTTATAATTCTACTTATTTATTCAACCATAGCCTCAATTATTTACTTATTTGACAGAAAAGTGTCGTTAAACCTGACAGCCGGTCCGTTAGCAGCTAGGTAGCAGCTAACGATGAAGGACGGCGCATCAACACTCATTCATTTAATTAATGTTTCTTGTTAATTCAGCTGAGAACAGCCATGAAGATAAAATAAAAATAATGAATATGATGTTCCAACAGTACAAAGTCTTCTCCAAAGGTTCAACCTGGTTTCTCTGGCTGAGCTATCCAACGTTATACAATCATGCTAAGCTGCTATGCTAGCTAGCTAAAGGTGTTTATGCAACTAAAGCTTGTATAGGACAGTCTAACAAACACCGCAATGTTGGACTCATTCTTTAATAATGTTATGATTTATTTATTTTCATTACTATATGGTTGTTTGTTACGGTACTATGGTTCCTCTCGCAGTGTACGTGTTAGCTGTAACGTTAGTTCTCGGACGTAAATACTGATCTTAATTCCAATAGAGATTTATAGTAGTTGAATGTTTTGGACGTTTTTTTTTTTCTTAAACCTCTTAGACTAGATTTAACATAATACAAATAAAATCAAAACTGAAAACATGGCTGTATTCATGAGAAAGTCATGATAGTTATCATTCGCCATAATCTTTTTGAAAAATCAACTATTTGTTTGGAATAATGTAATAATAATAATAATTCATATGAAATATAAGAAAAAAACTAAAATCTGACTTGACATGGTTATCCCGTAGCTAAACTCCAAAATATATCATACATAGAGGAAAACACATACAAAAGGGTTGTAAGAATCCCCAAGATTCTTTGGTCGGTGGTCTGCCTTCGTGTTTCTTGATTCTGTTTTTTTTCTGTGTGTGTGTTCAGGTGGGAAACTACCTCCGCATGTTCAGAGGCTCCCTGTATAAAAGATATCCGTCATTATGGAGAAAACTGGCATCGGTAGAAGAGAGGAAGAAGATAGTGGAGTCGTCACACGGTCAGTAGAGTGCAGTCCTGAGACTATATTCACAATATATACTCCTAATATGTTGTGATTCATCTAATATTAAAAGCCGTACCACTGAGAAATGTTGTACTACAGACTACTTTGGAATTTTTTAATAAATAGAACAAATTAGGAAATGTGTTTTGGCTTCAAAAAAGGTAAGAACATATGGAATAGTCCATCCCAGTTTCTTAAAGTCCAAGGTTATATCCTAAATGTCTTGTTTTACAATTTCAAAACCCAAAGAGGTTTTCCTTGCTAAAAGATTGATGGTTTGGCATTTTAAAAATAATGTAATTGCCACTAACTGCTTCACTATAATGTTTAAAAGTATTATTGACATGAAGAGGTATTGTTTAAATAAATAAAAAGGAATCTTGAGAAAATTAAAGGATTTGATTGCTTTTTTTTCCTCTTTTTTTTTTTTAAATGTATCTCATTCTATTATTTAAGTTTTTATTAGTTTTTTTGTTGTGATTTACCTCAACTGGATGTAAAAACATGAGTTTGTGATCTGAGCATATCTGTAAATGAACTCAGTCAATAAGGAAAAAGTATTACAACAATGAGAACTGTATCTCCACAAATAGAAATGAAAAACAAAGAAAAATCTTAAACTACAGAAAAAAAAATTGTTCACACGTTTAAATATGTTTTGTTCATCTCTTTCTGAACAACATCCTTATACATTTATGTTTAAAAGGATAAGAAAATGGCGTTACACATCGCCTCATTTCATAATTAGGGTTAACATAATTTTTCACAATAATGAGTCGAACATTACCAGGTTCAGTTGCTCTTGTTTCTGTCGTTGATTTGATCCGTTTCTGTCCTTCAGATCACGGCTACACTCAGCTGGCCACCAGTGTGACCCTGCTGAAGGCTTCCGAGGTGGAGGAGATCCTGGAAGGAAACGATGAGAAGTACAAAGCTATCTCCATCAGCACGGAGCCCCCCGCCTACCTCAGGTACCCCGCCATCTGAGAACACAAATGATAGATATGGGAATGCCTCTCTATTTAGATGCTTTCCTCACAATCAAAAGGTTTCCGTAGTTACTACCGTAGTTCTTTTTGTGAGTTGCAGGCTTAACTTACTCAAGGAACTTCATCTGTGCCGTGGACAAATAAGACTGGTTATGACTTATTATTACCTTTTACTTTTGGTACTCTTTGTAGGCTTTTGGTGCTAATGCAAGACTTAAGCAGTATTTATATACTGTGGTATTATTACTCCTTCTAGGGTTACATTTAGATATACTTTTATTGATCCCAGTTTGGACAATTATTTTGTCATAGCAGCATGTAGACAAGCATTGCACATTAATTTCAAATTAAATAAAATACAAAATAAACTTTAACAGCAAATGTATGTCTATATAAACAGGACAAGTAGTTTTTCTAGAACAGATTACAAATCGCCTGAAAATGGTACAAACAAGTGACAACATTTTTGACGAAGGTGTTGCGCTGGGCTTATATCATGCAATCGAATGTGAAACTTAAGCTCGCTCTATTGCTGAGATATTCCCGCGAGAGTGCGGAAAACTTACATTTATTTCAAAAGTGAAATTTTACCAATATACTCACAGACGACTAGGGGGCGCTCACGGACCACCAGTGGTCCGCGGACCACACTTTGAGAAGCGTAAAGTATCTTATCTTTTCCTTTTTTAATGAATGATTATTGATTAATTTGTCAACTGACAATTTGACAACTACATTTACTAAAGTACTGTACTTAATTACACATTTAAGGTATTTATCTTTGACTTTTGTACGTTTTCGTGCCACTTCCTACCTATACACCAGATTTCAGCGAAAAATATTTTTGCTCCACTACATTTATTTGATACCTATAGTTAGTTTACTTAACAGGTTAGGATATTGCACACCGAAAAATGTTACGTTTTTAAAATATAATGTTTTGTTAGAAATAAAATGATGACCCTATATAGTATGTACAGGTACAGCTGAATCAATGTATTAACTGGTTGTTTGAAATAAATATTGATGATCACAATAATAATGATGATGATGAGGAGAAATTGGACAAATAAGGCAAAAACACCCTGAACCAACAATCATAAATGTGTTATAGAATGCATATAAAGGTACAAAACGGATTAAAGGAGAGGGCCAGTAACTGACAGCTAGTAGGGGGTTGTTGTTTTGGGGGACAGGGATCTTGAGAGTCTAGGAGGAAGCAATGGCTGCTGAAGAGAATAAAACAACTGGAAACAAATCCCAAAAGCATCTGTTTTTCAACACGATATGAAAATGATTACTCAACATCTGAAATCTAAAATTGATAACGGAAGAAGAATTAAACAGGTAGCTTGTATCAAGAGGTCAGTCTGCACATTTTTGATGCGACCTATTTGGAAATTAGAGATAAGTACTTTTATGTCGAATGTCTTTTAGCTGATGCTTTTTGAGTTTATGAAAGCGCCCTGATTAAAGCGGCATTCATAAAAGCGGCATTCATAAAAGCATACTGGTAATAATTAAGGATGTTTCAGTTTGCATAATTATCTTCATGCTGATTTGGAGGAACATATTGGCTGTGTTAATAGAAAGAAAAAAAAAGCACGTTTTCAAACATGTCCATCAGTAGTAGGTCCACAGTAAATGGGTTTAACATGTGGTTATTTATTATTAGATAAGATTGACCTTTATTGATCCCTGTAGGGAAATGTGGGTGTCATAGCAGCAACAGAATAAGACAGAAAAACAGATAGTACACATGCGATAATAAGAAAAATAAAAACAAAACAAGTTAAAATAGGAATGAACATGTAGTAATAGTATGAATCAAAATTAAGAAAAATCACATGAGTTAAACTCTGAATTTTAAAGGTAAATGTTCATATATATATATACAGATGTATATAAAGGTTAAAAATATATACATGTAAATTATTATGATTTGGTATGTTACCGTTAAACCAGTGAGATTATAACTGCTGCATGTTGTCATTGAACTAATTTGACATTTGAAAAAAGCCCATCTTATCTTGTCTGGTTCCCACATGTGTTTGGTTCTGTCCACAGGGAGCAGAAGGGCAAGAGGAACAGTCAGTGGGTCCCCACGCTGCCCAACAGCTCCCACCACCTGGACGCAGTGCCCTGCTCCACCACCATCAACCGCAGCCGGAGTGGCCGCGACAAGAAGAGGACCTTCCCCCTATGGTGAGCAGCCTGCGCCCCCACTGCTGTGTTTAGTCACGCAGAAACGCGGATCACGTGCACCATAAGGTTTAAATTAGGGCTGTCAGTCTATTAAAATATTTAATCGCGATTAATCGCATGATGTCATTTTCCATAGTTAATCGCAAATTAATCGCAAATGTTTTATCTGTCCTAAATGTACCTTAGAGGAATATCTTTCAAGTTTGTAATACTCTTATCAACATATGAGTGGACAAATATGCTTTATGCAAATGTTTATTTATTATCATTGGAACAATGACAAATATTCTCCTGAATATTTTCAATACAACAACCTGGAACCTCTCTCTCTCTCTTACACTCTCTCCAAACCCTGTTTACTTCTCTGTACTGAGCCAGTTGCTCAAACAGACAAGCCTGTTTACAGTTGTCGGCGAAATGCTGCTCCTCTGTCTTCATCTTCAGTCAAAGCATGAGACTGAAGTTCTCACTTTGGGTCAAAATAATGCGCTGTGACACGTTGGATGCGATCCGAATTATCTCACACAGTCCCTCGTCCTCCACAATGTTAATTGTTCTGTAAGCTGTAGCTAGCGAGAGTTATGGATACAAAAAAAGGTGTTTTAAACAGCAAGCCAAGCACACAGCTGATGCTGACAGCCCCGCTCCTGCCGCTCGCCTGCGGCAGACCACACTTTAAAGTTTGCCGGTTGGACGCCTGGACACGGCGTCTATGAGCAGCAAGCGAGAGCTAAATGGGTGGCGGAGGCTACAGCTTACAGAACAATTAACATTGTGGAGGACGAGGGACTGTGTGAGATAATTCGGATCGCATCCAACGTGTCACAGCGCATTATTTTGACCCAAANTGGAGAGTATGTGCTGCAGGGAGGTGGATGCACAACGCACCCAGGAACGAACGCTAGCTCCGGTCCTTTTTACTGTGGACTCGATGTCCTGACAGGCTGGTATTTGTGCAACCTGCACAAACACAATACTGCACCATGATTACAAATGGTGAAATACAATGTAAAACTACCGAAAAATACCAGCTCCTTAAAACACAACCGCTCTACTCAACGCAACTCTACTATACCCGCGGTCAGAGAGCGGAGATGTGTCCCCTGTGTGATGTAATATGACGCGTTTGACGTATGACCTTAAAAAAAAAGCCGTTTTTAAGAGCAGAGCTCAAAATTGCTCCTTTCCCTCTGAATTCCTGCCCTTATGTCTCGTAAAACATATCAAATCCTGCATTCACTTTTTTAATTGTAATTTTCAAGCAAGTGTAAGCATAAATGTAGAATAAATAAAAACCTGCAAGATGCTCTTTAACTTCAACATTTAAAATAAATTTTCCCGGGGGGAGCATGCCTCGGGACCCCCTTAGAGGATGTGAGGTCCACCCCCAAAGAAGCAGGTTAAAATAATTCAATTGCATACATTTAATTTTAGTAAACACTGAAAACGGGTCCCACAGACCCAAACAGCACACAAAGGTTAAAGGTGAGCATATCATAATGTTAAAATGTGCTAAATATATACACTGCAAAAAACAAAAAAAGAGGAGTAAAAGCAGCTCACAACTTGTTTTAATTTTTGAAAGTAGCCCTCACACTAAAAAAGGTTGGAGACCCCTGATTTAGAAACTGCAGCGCGTATCCCGTAATGGAAGTGTTTTAAGCAGTTTTAGCACGTTTGTACTTGTCGGCCACCGTAGAAAAGCATGTGTCAAACCTGACAACAAACTACTACTTGTATTTCTTTTACCGGTTAAAGTTCAAAATGTACTCATGATGTTTGGGAGATAGGACACTGAGCTCACATGCTTTCCACCACATCTCCCGCTCTGTATTTGGGGAACAGTACCTGAAGGCGTACGTCCTCTGGTGCCAGCTCAGCTGACCGCGGATGCTGTAGGCGATGGTGGTGACAAACTCTCCGCCCAGGCCCAGCTCGGAGCACAGCTTCAGGGCGAATTTCTCGGGAGAGTTCTCCCTCTCGGACATGTCCCACTCAAACTGGTCCACCAGGGAGATGTTCCCCACATGGATGTTCAACTGAAAACCAAAAACATTTCTCAGAATAGGCTTCAAGTATCGTTTGCTATGAAAACATTTGATAGATTCTTCATGAGCTCCAGGCAGTGTAGAGCGTCACCTTGATGATCACCCTCTGGTCCGACTGCTCCTCCAGGATGCTGTCTGTGGGATACGACTCGATCTGCTGTCGGATGGCGGAGGCGATGGCGGGGACGAAGGCCAGCGGGTTGAGGTCCAGGTCGTCGCAGAGGATCTCAGCAAACATCTCGGGCGTCATCAGCTTTTCTGGGAATGTCAAAAAGGCAAAGGAATGTGTCAAAACTTATATTGGCTCCAATGTGTTTTTGCTTTGATATCCTATTTTGCTGAGCTGAGAGAAAAGGCGATGTTGGGGCGTTACCGTTCATGTTCCAGGTGAAAGCGTCTCTGAGTTTCTGTCCCTCGATCTCCATGTCCAGGCGGATGGGAACCAGGACTTCAGACTGAGTGGCGTTCTCGTGGATCACTGCTGGATCGTGGTCGTCAAAGCTGGGCAAGAAGAAAAAACAAAAAAACTCACCAACTGCAACTGAAACTAGATCTAATTCCTATATATTACATTTGTATTACTATTATCTTTTTATTTGTATTTCTGTTGTACCTATATGTTCAATTTGTTTCATGGGGTTTTATATTGTTGCATCGATTTAGTTGTCTTCGGAGAGAAATCATAATTTATTTTATTTTATTATCATACCTTTGACCTCCTTGTGTCTCTTAACCTGTTAACATTTTATATTTTGCTGCATGAACCTGTAAAGTTCTTAACATCTAATCTGAGGGAAATTTCTTGTTGTTTATTTTTAACTTGTGATGTGTGCCATTTTGTAAAGCACTTTGAGCTGCATGTGCTGTATGAAAAGTGCTACATAAATAAAGCTTTATTATTATTAGTATATACATATATTTCAATGTTTAAAGTAGGGCTGTCAAGTTAACGCAATTTTTTTTTTAACGCCGCTAATTATTTTAACGTGCGATTAACGCATGTGTAGTTGGCCCGCACCGACTGCCAAGGCACAC